TTTCACAAATATTCACTCCCTTATTCCGATTATCTCTTTTCCAGGAGGTTTCTCACCTTTTTTCCGTCTCTGGCTTTCTCTGGCATGCTGTTTACCTCCTCTTTCAATACTTTTGCCTCAATTGTGTTTGGGGGTCAGAGTTTTATTTATTTTTGATTTTTTTGGTGAGCTTTTAGCTGCGATTCCGATGTTTTACGTGTTTAGATTTCAGAAACGGACCTGGTGTCACATCAGTTTTAATCGTTTGGGCTCAGGATGTTAAAATATCTCTCACATTTAATTTAAAAAAGGGGTTCGTGACTCCACTGGCTCACTTATTCTTCGTCCAGTCATTTGAACTGGGGTCTGAGTCCAAACAAAATCCCGTGTCCTGTTCGTTAAAGCTTAATTTTTCCTGTTTTTAATCAGACCCTTTGTCATAAAGTCACGTCAGGTGTTTTTAAAATGAGATGTGAGACTTCTGTTATGACAAATCTTTTGATAGAATCGTTTGTTCTTTACTTTCAGGGCCACAGACCCACGTTAAAGCACTTTTTTTTTTCAAATTTAAGAACATTTCTACCAAACTTCTGTAACTCCAAGATAAATTCCCACAAGGTGAAAGAAAAGAGATGAGGGGCAGCCTCACGACTCACATTTTGGACCATTCGAGCGGAGCTAAACATGATAAGACTGTATTAGAATTAGAATTAGAATTTGAAGCCTTTATTGTCATTATAACATGCGTACAACGAGATTTGGATACCGTATGTGCATGTCTTCTTTAAAGACAGTTGACTTTATTTGCGTTACAGAGCTAAAACACATTTGCTGTTGTTGGCTCGATCTTAAAGCTCCAATAAAACCAAACTGGGTTAGTTTGGATGTGACTCCTGCTCCAGTTTCTGCCCCAAAAGGCGACTCAAATATTTAATTTAGGGTCTTTTTAGTGGAAAAAGTATGTATTTGTGGAGGGGGATCCTTGTTTGAATCAGTTTTTCTGATGAGTCATGATTTGGCCAATAGATATTTGGACATTTTGGTGGATTTGAAAGGGGGGGGCAGCTGATAGCATGATGATAAGCAGCTTCGCCTTTAGAGTCGAACACCTTTTTTAAGTTTGGAAGCATTTCAAGATGGCTGGCTCACTGGTCCGATGGCACCCTGACGACTCAGCAGTTTTTCAGTCAAGTTATGATATCGTGCAGTCCAGCAAAAGGCTCCAGGAACATCCGGGGGAGACAAATTGACACAGATCTCAGGGCTCTTTGCCCACTGAGACCCAGAGAGAGGTTTTTGTCTGTTAGAGCCCAGCTGATACACTTAACCTGTGACCCAATAAATGTCATTTTTGATACTTTTGATCCACTCTGGTATATTCTCAGGTTTCCAACTAAAGAATCGAGAGCCCTACACTGATCAGCTTTAGAGCTCAACTCAAATTATGGATGAAAGCAAACCAGTCATGTGACCACTAAAATCTTAACATTTACTTGTGATGTTTATATTGTTTATTATATGTTCTTTCTTATGTATTTGCCTGCCTAGGGACTACGGATGAAAACTAGCTTTATAGCTATAATCCGGCATATTTACATCTGCTTTTGACTGATGTTCATTAATGTGCTTTGTCCCTATTCAAATAAATTAATGAATAAATCGGGTTAACAGATATCTCGGCTAAATGGCGGCGAACGGGGAGCCTGTGGCGGTCATCCGGCGGCGGCGGCGGCAGGAAACGGCGTGCGCGGCGCCCCTCGCCGCCTGGGCCCCAGCTGCTGCCGTGGCAACGGCGGCGGCGGCAGGTGAGCGGGCGCCAGGCGGCTTCCTCTTCCTGTGACAGCGGGCGGGGGCGGCCTACTTAGCCTGCCTTATCTCGCTTCTCACCCCGCGTAGGTTTGATCTAATCAGCAGGTTCGGGAGTCGAAATGGGAGCAGTGGGGGGGGGG